TGGAAGGCATACATATGGGTTTCGTTCACCTTGCATACCACAAGCGTTACATGTGAAGGATACGTCCCTCGCCATGAGGGTGAGTCCATGCTCGTGGCACTTTGGATGATCCACTTTGCGGGGGGCAGGGTTCTTTCCCCATTTCATCATATCTACGCTGAAATTGCATAACTTACAATGGTAAACAAATTTTGAGAGTTTCCGTTGACAGAGGCTGTAGTTCCCGGCAGCCCCGTCTCTGGCTTTTGTACAACCTTAGGCAAAATACAAAAATGGGCCTTTTATTTATACGATATTTATAAAATACTAGTATTTGACCCGCGGTATATATACCACATATTTATTTTTTCTAGTCAAACTTTTAAGTAAATAATTTTTGAATGTTTTGTTTGAATAGCAAATGAGCGTTAATAAATTATTTTTATAAAAATGTGTCAAACAAAATTTTTGGACTTTTTGTTATAGATTTTTTTTTTGAGATTTTCTTGAATTTTTAGTTAAGTTTTGGACCATTTTATAAATAACATTTTGAATTATCTTAAAAAATAAAAATATATGAGCCCTTTTATGTAAAAAATAGAATTTAAAAAATTTTGGGCCCTATTATTAAAAAATTTCAGGCTAATTTACACTTTTTTTTAAAAAAATATGGGCTCTTTTACACGTTTTTTTTATTATTTTCTACCATTTTACACGTTTTTTGATTATATTAATTAAGTTTTTGAAACATTTTGCTAATTATAACTAGGTTAGTTATTTTTGTGGGCCTTTTATGTTAGAAACATTTTTAATTATGGGCCCTTTTATTTAATTAATTTGTTTTTTTTTTTCAAATCATACAACAAAATTATATAATAAAAGACTCTTAAAATTTTGGGCCCTTGGAAAATGTCCACTCTGCCATGGGTCAGAGACGGGCCTGGTTCCCGGCAGAGTAATTAGGTGGCCCTTGGAGGAGAAGCTCGAGAGGATGGTTCGGGTGGCAGGGATGGTCAATTTTCTTCGTCACTGGCCTTGGAATGCAAGAGCTATGCATGCCATTCCATTTTGCATTCGTCTCATCTATATATATACCGCCATCAGACCTAATTTATTATTAAGACCGCACTCTTGGCAACCGAAAAGTTCATCACGTGAAAGAGATACAGGATGTTCGTACCAAAAGTATTTCACCATGGTGAAGGTTTAGAATGATTGTGGACAAGATTATGAATAAGGAAGGGAGATGGCTAACAAATATGATTAAGGTTTCACTTCAAATTATAATTGATCTCCATATATATATATATATATATATACAAATACAAGTTGATATATTACTCAAGTTGATCATCATTAGCTTTACACATTTAATCGAACGTGTTTAATCTTTTCTTAAGGCTCATCAATGAAGTAAAGCGGATCCAAATGTTTATTTATATGGCAAATAGATTGGAGAGTGGACAAGACTAATCTTTCACCGGATTATTAAATGATTACTTATAAACTTCATATATATAGTTGACAAAAGAAAACAAAAGACAACAGCTAATAATTATTAAGCTTCAGCCCATGAACTTTAGTTTAGCTCTAATATTTTTTTTTTTAATGTTTGGAACAGAAATTGCTAAACGGCAACATTTTGTAGCTGGTCTATTGTCAGAACATATAAATGGTTCATAAAGAGTAAAGTATAAAAAGTAAACTCAGAGCTGTTTCTGTATCTATCCACACAGATTTCAAGTTCTCTCATTTCATCGCCTATCATTACTGTCTCCACCGCTTCCACCACCGTACTGTGTGGAGTTTCCGTTCCAAAAGGCGTTTCCATCACCAAACGGAGCGTCATCTTCAGTATGATTCAGCGTATGGATGTTACTTCCAATCCGAGAAGTGGTTGGTCTCCTATTCCTAACATTGCTCCTACCTTCTGATGAATCTTGAAAGGAGGAGCCCCCTTGCCCCAGATTGTTTCTCAGCTCCGCCTGTGGTCCTATAGACAGAATAATAGAGAATCAGATTAGCAATTACATGACCTTTTTGTGTTAGAAAAGATTGTCATGAGCTCACCACTTTGAGGCTCTGGACCAGAGCTTGATGTGTTGGCAGTACCGCCGCCAAAATATGAAAACGGGTTTGCATAAGACAGTACTCTTCTAACATAAGCAAAGTAACCACCATCATTAGGGTCTGTGTTGTTGTTAGACTCAGAGTAAGATGGTCCTCTTTGATAGACGGTTGCTCTTTTACGCAGAACCACTACAAGTGCTTGTCTATCAAACAAACCCAACTCCGATAGAGACTTATCCATATCTGCAGAGATTGAGAGTAATCGAGTTATGTATCTACTACACGAGTCCAACCTGACCAGAAAAAAAAACTAAATGGTAGAAAACATCATCTTCGATCAAGATGAAGCTTATTTAAGGTAAAATGTTCTTTACCCAAAAAAATTAAAATCTATTGGATGCATTGTAGATTTTAAGTACCTTGGTCACTATACACCTTACGTGGGTAAGGAACCGCAAGATCATAAGCACCCAGTCCGATTGTTTGATTACTGTTCACATAATCCTTGACCATTCTCAATATACTTGTCACAGAAAACTTCTCCTGAAGGCTACTACCATCAGGCAATCGAATGTTTAAATGAACATCAGATGACTTTTTGGATTTTTCTCCAACCTCTTCCTCTCCTCCTTCATCCTTTGGCTTCATGACCTCTTCTGTACCAACAGATTTTGTTAAATTAATGTCCCTTTCACTAACACCTAGACCACTATCATCTTTGTTTATCACAGTTCCTTTTTTCCTTTTACTATCAACAGAAGATCGAACGCTGGATGCATTATCATTTGTTCCTGGGGCTGCAGGACGAATTGGCTCCTTTTCTGCCTGAACATGCGAAGGGGCCCCTGTCGCTTCATGTTCAACATTGGCCTTAGTTCCATCAACAGAGGGTGCTGGCTGGTTTTTAGTAGTATCACACAAATTACTAGGTTCGGCAGATTCTTTGCCCTGTTGAAAAAAAGGCCGCACCATGTAAGCAAAACATCAAACTAAAGTAATGTGGAAATGATTTCAGCTCCAGGGACAACCTTAACTGCAACTGTGCCATCATTGTTTTCTTTTGTTGATGCAGATGTCACCGTTGACTTTGTCTCTGAGGGTTGAACACTAGAGGCCGTCGATGGAGATGCAACCGGTGCATCTAAAGGACCACTTTCAGAAGGCAAGACAACATTTGAAGCACTAGAAGCAGGTTTCTCTGAGTTCTGTGATGCAAGTGCTGCTGAAAAGATACTTGCAGTTGTTTCCTGAAAACGAGAAATGTCTAAGGCATTAGTAAGTAAGAAAAACAACCATCAAACGAAAACTGTATAGAAGGACAAAAAACAAGATAAGTAAGAGAAGCAGGTATTAAGTACCTGGATATGAAGTCCTAACCACGCCTTCTCTAAACTGGATGCAATGTCTTCAGCAGCGATAAATCCTTCTAAAAAAGTAGAAGGGAAGAAAACCAAATCTGAGTATGTTTGCTTTTCAATAACGTGTAAAATACATCTAAAATTACATAAGGACTTACCATTTTTCCAAACTTGTGTACCACTGAATCCAATGGCAGCTATACAAGGAACAGATGAATATGGGTCTACAAACTGATGTAAGGATCCCTGTTCTTTCAAAATTGCTACCTCAAGAAAATCAATCAAAAAGAACTTAAACTACACATGCACTCAAATGTATAGTCCTAAATGGATACGCCAGCTAGAGAGATAAACTTATACAGCGCAAAATGATGAGAGGTGATTTCACCAAAAGATTTCAAAGTGTAAGGGTCCATTCTTCTTAAACTATTTTGAACTCTACCACAGAGGCATGTACTCCTAGAAATAATTACTTCTTCCGGATGGTAAGACATAATCGTATAGCAAACCTACAAGGCATATCTACAGAACGTCTGATGAAACGCACCATTCACTGTAAAATCCAGAAAAACAGCTTTACAACTAGATCACCTTACTTAAGTTCTCTCATAAAAAGAAAGGATACATATTGCGGAGAAGTTTGTGGCGTCAACACTTCCAGCTTGAATATGCACTAAAATACAATACTTCGACAGCGACTCTGCCACCTATACCAGGAAGGAAACATACGACAATGTTATGAACGAACAATAGCCTTGTTTGCATTTTCAACATAACTGAGAATGCAAATCATTGACGAAGAGAATGTGAAACATAAAACCTACCGATGCATCAGTCCAAGTCAATCTGTTCAACTTATCTGACTCTTCATCCTCTCCTAAAAGTTAAAAAGCAAGTCCATTTTACTATTAGAGATCAAAATTTGTGCTTGAGCTCACAATATAATTATGTTGAAACTTGTTTTCTAAAGTCATATTCTTGGATGATCAGAACTCGTATTCAGATGAGACTACAAGAGAAACAAAACTCCAACACTATCCCACTCATATTCGAATTCCAACAAGAATTACTAATAAGAGAAAATAAAAATCCATAATTTACCAGAGATGTAGACAACAAAAAGCTTCTTCTGCCCTTTGGCTTCAAATATGGCTTCCGGAACAGAACCCTTGAACGTAAGAGAAGACAGAGCTTCCATCTGTAAATCAAAAAGGTTACTGGAGATCAATCAGAAACCTTGAACCCTAAATTCAGTGAATTATACAACGAACCCTAGCTAGATCCGATCAAAGCCAGGAGCCTAATCAAATTGAATTAGCAAGAAACAGAGAGATCCACAATTTACCTGCTCCAATCAAATCCTCAACTCTCTCCACCACAAAAGAAAGAACGAAGAAGCTTCGGGTAGATCAGACGCCGTTATGACTCTCCAGTCGGGAGTCTTCACGATTAACGACTAAACGCCACCGTCACAATAACGTCGTTACACGTCTGTTATTATATATTTTTTTGTGTCCATTAAATTTTTCAAAACATCTAAAAATGTCCTCTTAACTTTTTGAATTGTCAAATTTAAACCCAAACCAACAAATCTCTCAAGAGTTTGCAAAATTTTATAGTGTATACCAAAAAGAGTATTGTTTATTTAACTGAATTATCTACAATTAGTATTGTTCCATGATCAAAACCACTGTTATCGTCTGGATAAACTGTCCCATTCCATCTCATTTGACTGGTTATAGCTTTCACTTTGATAAGAACATCTAAACGGTCTCGTATTATAACTGCGCCTTCTGGTCTAAGAATCCTCTGCATCTCCAAGAGTATATCAACAATGTCACATCTACAACAAAGAAAGAAACCATTTACACATTGATTACAAAATGTAATTCAAAGTGTTCAAGATACAGACGGATCTTACTTGTCCAAGTACAAACTGAACACACCATTGGCATGAATCAGATCATAGGTTCGAGGGTATGTAGAGAAAGCTTCACACCTGAAAACCCGAAAAGACTGTATAAGAGAGGTTGTATTAGATGATATCAGAGACGTTTTGAGTGATTTACCAGTTCATGTAAGTTCCAATGAGACCGCGATCATACACAACACCGAGTGTGTTCGGTTTAAGATCAAACGGAACCACATTCATAACCCACATTGTGTATTTGTTCAAAGCTGCAGCAAAACCACCTAATCCAGCGTTCATATCAATGATGTTTCTGTATTTTCCATTGCTGAGAAACTTTAACTTGGTGTCATAGTACAATACTCTTCTTTGCCACATGTTATTGTTAGATTTGAAGCTGGCAATAGTTGTTCCCTTTATCAACCCGGTTTTGATTCGTCGAGGCACATTATTTAGTCTCTCAGGCCAGTTTCTGAGAACGATCTTGTGTGTGTCGTTAACATCTGGAAGAGGAGTGATACACGGCTCCATCTCTTTGTACCTATTGATAAAAAAGATCCAACCGAATCAAGCTTCTGAAGCTGAAGATGCGCAAAATAGATTTGGGGAAAGTAAAGTCACCACGCAGATTCAAGGTCACTAGAAGAGCAGAATCCAGGAAACTTAAGAGCTTGTAGTCTTTGTCTACACTGCAAATGATTAGAAGGCTTTCTCCAGATGACAACTGGGTAACTTTCAGCAATCTTCTCCCAACAAAGTCTTCTAAAAACACCATTTAGTTGCTCCATCTGGTTCTGCAATTCCTTGGAATCTCTCTTCTGGTTCTTGGATTTAACCCTTGATGCTACAGGTGGTCCAGACAACACCCAGTATCCATCAGGACGTAGAACACGATCCACCTCCATCAAGTAAAGCCCATCTGGATAAAATGTTCTCTCTTTCAGTATCAGAAGCAGAGTGAATCAAGCAAGCGGTCCAACTATTCAGATAAACAGGTGTATTTACCATAGGCAGTCCAATTGACCAGGCATCTAGAACAGTGGACCATGTCGAAAGACCTCGACGGGTAAGGCAACTTATAAGTGCTTAGAACACCGAGCATAGCAGGGAGTCCACGTTCTAATGCGAACTGAACTTGAGCCTCGTGTATATCCCTCGGTGCAATGGACATTGTCAAAATGTTATAGTTCAGCAAAAAGGCTCCAAAACTCGCTACCTAACAATTTGAGTTCAACAAAACACATATGGAATCCATCATAATCAAAAGTACTAATACTGCAGTAAAATATCAAGTATGTAACTGAACTCACTCCACATCCAATATCGAGAACAGTCCTGATACTCCCAGAAGCCAAAGGCAAAACACTCAGAATCACATCAACATAGTCCTTCACACCACCGGGAAAGGAAGTCCCGCCTCCAGGGAAAACAAAACGGTCTCCTTCAAGCCTAATCCAATTCTGAGTCTTTTTCAACTCAGCTAGCCTCTTGAATGGTACGTTCTTGAACCAAGCATATTTTCTACTCTCAGGCCATGGAAAAGGCGTTTTGAAGCCAGTGGGCTTTGGGACCAAACACCTGAACTTCTCTTGGGCTATGTCAGGACAGTGTCTCTCTCTCCGATAGTGTCTCTGAATGCTGTACTGTCGTGCTGTTGATGGATCGTGGCATGGCAAGTAGTTGGTGAAGTTCTTGGGACAGAGTGGAAAGTAAGATGGTGATGATGATGATGATGATGATGAGGATGAGGATGGTGGTGGTGGCGATCGGTTTTCTGAAGTTTCTGGAAGGGAGGAGTAATGGGAAATGGAGGGTACCTGAATCTGTGGAGGATGGTGAGGAACTTGGGAAGAGAAGGTGATGGTTTTGATAGTGGTGAGGATGTAATAGAGGAAGAAGAATAGGAATGGAGTGAAGAAGAAGAATAGACGCTTAGGACATAGCTTGAATAAGTGTTGTTGTGATGGATTCATCCTCTTTTTTTGTCTAGACTTCTTCTGCAATTAGGTTTCAAGAGAGAGAGAGAGACAGGACAGTGATGTGAAATATTATTATTTTAGTTAAGAAGACAGACTCACCTCGTTTTGTGAATTGGAATCTTCAACTGTACTCTGAGATATTAGCACTCATTTTCTAATAATAAAAATTAGTATTAACAATAACACAGTAGTATATTTACAGAAATCAAAAGATTAAGAAATATATTAGAGTAGGGTACATAAGGGAAGATCTAAAGCAAAATCTTGTGAGACTAGGGTGCTTCTGTGGATTATTGTGGTCATCAAAGGTAGTTGATTTCTACTACGAGCAAAAGACAAAAGACAAGAGCTTCATTTTAGCATCAACGTTGAACAATATTGTCTCTTGAAATAAACTTGTCCCCATGTAATGTAATCTTCCAGCAGTCAAGTTGGATGATAAAGACAGAGAGCTTCTTGGGTACAACTGTATCAGATTGTTTACAATAACTAAGTTAAGCCTTGAGGCTTGGGAAGAGAACGATTTTGATATTTACCGCAAATATATTGGTGAAAAAAGCTTCAAGATACCTCGAAATTTGTCGTCTCTTGTGATTATTCCAAATGTTTCAGATGTCTCGCGCACCATTATGCCTTGTACACCAGTGAATGATGCTATCTTGCACTCAGCAACTGTCACAAGTAAAATAGGTTCCTATGATTAGAAGGGACCAATTACAATATGGAAAAAGATCGATCCTAATACTACAGATTTGTGAAAGAATGAAGGATTACCAAACATGAAAGCACCGTGAAGATCTGCTGAGAGAAGAGTTAAAGATAATTGAATCTTCCTGCAAAAAGTAGATTGTCTAAGAATGATGAACAAGCTTAAAATGATTGTGTATTCTATATTACGCCCCTCAATTTCGTCCTTATAGAAAGCACATAGTTAGAATTAGTATTTCGGTAATCAGATAAGTAGCTTACCCGGTCACCTTGATGAGTTTCATCATATAACTTTCCCACATACAATGCATTGGCTTAAACAAATCAAACCTGCACTCCAAACACAAGTGAACCAGTAAACACTTAAAATTTTGTTAAGAAATCCAAAACAATAGAGTCAGATGCATAGGCTGAGCCAGTTCAATCTTTTTGAAAACAAAAAAGAACTCACTTTTGGAGATCTTTAGGCATATGCAAAGCACCAGATTTCTTGAGTCGCTTCATAGACATACGGCTTCTAGAACGTTTTGAATCCTTCTGTGATGCCTTTTTAGAACCAGAGGCTGAAGACCGTGACTGTACAAAGTTATCAAGGAGGATATAGTTGTCCAGCTTCACACTTTTAGTACCTTGCAAGTACTTTTGAGCAGAGTCACCGCTTCGAAGAAGGTTATGCAAAACCTTGTCTACTATAGTTCCCTTTGCACTAGAAAACTGAATCACAAAAAAAACACATACTGAGCAATCATTTCTCAACTCACACAGAAGAAGACAGTGGTTCGCTTTCCTCAAGAATCTGAATATATACCTTAACATTGGTTGCCAGCAAATTCTCATCAACAGGATGGGACAATCTTGTATATGCAACAGAATCATCATCCTTGGGATCTACTACAAAACCAAATTCCCATCACAATCAGAGTTCAATAAAGAGTTGCTAGAGAGAATCATTCTTCGTTTACACTCAACTATCAAACCTTTTTTAATCGACGTCTTTGAGGGAGTAGGCAGTGAATCAGCTTGATGTGATTCTTTCGTAGAGACATCTACATCAGAAGTTCCCTTCTTGTCTTTCTCACTCTTCTGTTGTTGTTGAAGAAGCTGAGCTTTTGCAACAGCGAGCCTTCGTTCCATTGCAGCCATTGCCCATCTAGCCTGATCATGCACAACCGTCTGGGTACCCATTGCAGCTAGATAGCAACTAACCTAGTCTCTGTGATTCAAACCCGGAATAGGTGTAAAGCGCAAATTTTGCTGCGAAAATCCATCAATTTGTATATATCTGGAACTTAAACTAAACAACTACGTTATATGTGAGCTTAAGAAATTGAAACTAAGTACTAAGAATTAAGAAAGCTAAGTTTTTGGATGTCATTACTAATTCAATCAGTCCAGTGTAGTAAATTTATATCAAACATCACATAATTCAATCCAAACACTAAGAATCTAGAAAGCTCAATTTTTAGATGCAATTAACCAAAGGCAAAACCAATCAAACCAAAAAGTTGAGGACAACAGACACGAAATCGAATAGATGCTTACGGATCGACGAATCAAATATGGACGGAACTGAGACCAACGATACACGGCGAGGCTAAGAGAGTAGCAGCGAAGAAAAAGTTTTTATTTGAAGTCGGCCGCTGTACAAAAGAGATACTCCTGTATATTTCGACGATAGAAGATAATCACGTGAACCCTAATAAAAGCTCACGTGACTTGGTCTCTCTTTTTTCAGTTACTAAATCTGGTTCGGTCTGGTTCTCAATCTTACACCTGAAAGCTGTTTCGGTTTGTCCAACTTCTTTTCCTTTTGATCAACAATTTCTGTTTTTTCTTTTACCGAATAGAGAAGTGAATCCTTCAATGGCGGCACTAAGCTTTTGCAGCTCTTCTCCTCCTCGGATTCTTCACAAACAATCCAAATCGAGCTTTTTTCCTTCTGACTCTTCTTCTTTCACACAAACCGTCGGAGAATCATCTGCGAAACCCATCTCTGTCTCTAGACGATTTCGTGTTGCCGTTAACTCCACCGCAGTTTCCGATGAATCGGGAAACGCAAAACTACTATCTTCTCCGGCGAAGAAGCTAAGGGAGATTATGCAATCCCCTGGTGTTCTTCAGGGTCCCTGTTGCTTCGATGCTCTTAGTGCCAAACTCATCGAACGAGCTGGGTTTCCTTACTGTATCACCACTGGTAATGATTTATAAATCCATTATTGATGAATTTTCACAGTTTGTATCTGGTTGTTGTCAAATCGATCTTCTACTGTTGTTGATTGTGTTCTGCTTAAAGTTCAAGACTTTACAGTTTTATAACTTCTCTGAATCAGATAAGAAACAAGTTTGTTTTTTGGCTGATATCTGTCTATGCCAATAGGGTTCTCAATTTCAGCGGCTCGGCTTGGTTTACCTGATAAAGGACTTATATCTTACGGAGAAATGTTTGATCAAGGTCAACAAATTACTCAATCTGTATCAATTCCGGTGATTGGAGACGGTGGCAATGGATTCGGTAATGCCATGAATGTTAAGAGGACCGTCAAGGGATATATCAACGCTGGCTTTGCAGGAATTATCATTAATGATCAGGTTTGTTGTGAAGATACTAAGAGTGAGAGAAGAGTGGTTTCTAGGGAGGAAGCCGTGATGCGTATTAAAGCTGCGGTTGATGCGCGTAGAGAGTGTGGTTCTGACATTGTCATTGTAGCTCAAACTGATTCCCGAGAAGCGATATCTCTGGAGGAATCACTCGTTAGGGCAAGAGCTTTTACAGATGCTGGAGCAGATGTTCTCTCCGTTGATTCTCTTTTTTCTAGAGAAGAGATGAAATCATTCTGCAATGTCTATCCGCTAGTTCCTAAATTGGTAACTTAACTTTGCGCCAGAAACTACTCTTCTCGATCTTGATATATACCCGGGAGATATGAAGATTCATTTGTGCGGTCTTTGTGTAGGCTAATATGCTAGAAATTGGAGGGAAATTTCCGATACTAAACCCGCTTGAGCTAGAAGAGATTGGATATAAGCTAGTGGCATATCCAATTTCATTGATTGGAGTATCTATTCAGGCAATGCAGGTCACAATCTCTCTGTTTCTGCCAATAATGTGTAACCTCACTGTGGTGGCAAAGAGACTTAAGAACTATGTGGAACACTTGTAGGACGCTTTATTGGCAATTAAGGGTGGTAGAATTCCTCCACCAGGAAGCATGGCGTCTGTAGAAGAAATCAAAGAGATTCTTGGTTTTGACACATACCAGGAGGAAGAGAAGCGGAATGCTACCTCCTCATCAGATAGAGGTGAGACATGAAAGTTTTCAGTTGTATCATCTTTGGGAAATATCAAGTGAATAACTAAATCTGTTTTCATCCTTTTCAAGAAACGAGCAGCAGTAGCATCTATGGTAATCAACGGGTGGCTCAAGATGATCCAGAACAGAGAGAGGACCCGATAGTTGAAGTCATAACACCTGAGGTTTATAATGAACCAAGAAACCCCTTTTCGCGGATCTGGTCACGATCCTTGAGGATCAAAATCATCGGACGCGATGGGTTTGAGAAACTCGATGTCAGAATTCCGGTAAGTCCACCTCCAAGGACCATTTTTCGTGTTTTTTCTGAATTGATTCAAAACTTGTCTTATGGTTGGAACAGGCCGGATTCTTGGAAGGTGTCACAAACATTGTTCCAGGTATTCACAAACTCAAGTCTTCTTTTTCTGTTTCAGTTTTCTTAGGAATAGTTATTGACAGACCCTAAAATTTTGCAGCTTTAGGAGGCGTGAACTTGAAGCAATTGATGGACGATGCAGCCGATGAGGTCGGAGGGAAACTTTTGTTAGATTTTAAAGACACTGCTGGTGACAGAATCCAAGTTTTTCTAGAATGACACACATGTAGTGAAGAAAAGGTAAATACAGTCGAGAAACATTTAAAAAGAGAAAACAAAAATGACAAGATTTTTATTTGTTCCGTGGATGAAAAATGTTTTACACATCTTCAAAATAAAGAAATTGAAGTAAATGTGTATATATCAAATTATATGCATATAACAAAAAGGGCAGACCCGAGCAAGGTTTGCCACTCTCACCGGTACAAATTTCACAACAAGCTCTCAATTTCGTCCATACCAGAAAAAATAAAAATGAATGATGACTGAAGATTAAGGCAAGAACAAACAGAGAAGAAAATCCGTGGAGCCGTGTAGCCAGGATGAATAATGTAACCTGAGTACTTCCGTGAAGCGGCTGGCCAATCTGTCTACTTTTATCGACTGATATTACATATCCCAGAGTAAAGGAAAAGCACGGACGAGCGGATTCTTGATTATACAAATGAAGTAAGTGCGTAATGCTTGGCTTGATCTTACCGGTATCCACCACCGTAGGATTGTTGAGGGTTGTAACCACCTTGACCCATCATGGGATTGTAGTTGTTGCCAGTGTTTGGGCCAGGGACCATCCCTGGGTTTTGTGGTTGCATCGGATAGCCTTGGCCATATCCTCCCATGTTCATGTTCATGCCGGGTCCCATTCCCATACCCATTGGTTGGTGTTGGTTCATTCCAGCCCCCATACCCATACCCATGGGTTGGTTTTGGTTCATACCTCCATAGCTACCAACACCCATTCCTCCGCCCATGGGCATGCCGGAGCCTCTCATTGGATTAGGTGGAGGCCTCATAGCAGTTGCACCAGAACGCCCTAAGCCAGTGCCTGATCCCATAGCTTTACCCATGTTGATAGTCGATGTTGCTGGTGTGTTTGTTGGTTTCTCCAGCCGTTTCTCTCTCCTGTTGATCGCCTCGAAGTCAACTCCTATGTCTGCCAATGGATTTGTTTTAGCTGCGCATAAGTAGAACAGCAAAAACAATGTTAGAAAGTTTGCTGAAAACTTTTTGGTTTTTTAATTGGTTTGGCGAAATCTATCTTACATCCAGATATGTTAAAGTTAACAAGCCCCCTGCTCAACGTGTCTGCCCAGACTGATGATTTTGGCTCAAACTTTTTCTGAGGCGGGGGAACAATCTCAATTGCTCCTGTTAAAGGCGTGAGATCTGGATGAGATGATGATGATGTCAAGGAGTTCGGCGCAGCTTGTGAAAACATGTCTCCCATGACATTGTTGTTCCCTTGCAGAGTAACAGGCCCGGATTGAGTTCGTTGTGGACCACGGGAAGGTGGCATTCCATGACCTTGGTGTGCTATGAACTGACCAGCTGGTCCACTTGGGTTAGAGTAAGGAGTTTGTGAGCCCGGCTGGTGCATGAAGCCTCCACTGTTAAATGGCATGGCTCCAGTCATATTTTGAGAATGAGGAACCATGTTATATGGTTGAACAGCTTGTCCAAATGGAGTTTGTCCGGGCATGTTTGGAGCTGTAGATACCGGTGGCTGAGAAGAACGTGTACCTGGCTCGGT